CCAGTGATATGAAGGTAGCTGCCAACCGCTCTGGCTTGAACTCCTCTCTACACCCTGAACCTGAAACCCTAAAACCCTAAGACTTGGGATGTTCCCCCCCCTCCCCCCTCCCCCCTCCCCCCCCCCCCTCCCCCCTCCCCCCCCCCATACTAACAGCCCTTAGTAGGGATTATAATATGGGGGGGGGGGGGGGGTACTATAATCCCTATTAAGGACTGTTAGTATAAGGGGGAACATCCCAACCTAAAACCCTAAACTCCAAATTCTAAAAGCCTACACCCTACCCGCCGATACACAAACTCTGAACCCTTAAACTCCTAAACCCTTAAACTACTACACCCTCAAAACCTTAAACCCCTAAACACTGAACCCCTAAACTCTAAACCCTAAACCTTAAACCCCCTAAGCCCTACACCTTAAAGCTCCTAAACCCTCAAAACCCTACACTCTAAACCTTGAACCCCAACCCTAAACCTTAAACCCCCTAAGCCCTACACCTTAAAGCTCCTAAACCCTCAAAACCCTACACCCTAAACCTTGAACCCCAACCCTAAACCCTAAACCCCAAACCTTAAACTCCTAAAACTGTAAGCCCTAAGCTTTAACCTCCCAAACCCTCGAATGCCTAAACCCGACACTCAAACTCCTAAACCCTCAACTCTTAACCTTGAAGTGCTAAACCCTCAACCCTCAGCCCTAAACCTTGAACTCCAAAACCCTCAACCCTAAACCTCAAACTCCTCAAACCTAAACCCTAAACTCCCAAAACCTCAAAACCCTAAACCTTAAACTCCTAAACCCTAACATCCTAAAACCTCAACTCCGCAAACCTCAAAACCCTAAACCTTAAGCTGCAATACCCTAGGCCGTGACCCTTAAACTCCTGAACCCTAAACCCTTTACTCCTAGAACTTAATAAGCCTGAAAGAATTCAACTCCTAAACCCTAAACCCTGAACCCTATACTCCTAAACCCTAAACTCCTAAACCTGAAAAACCCCAAACACCTTACTCCTAAACCCTAAACCCTATACTCCTGAACCCCTTCCTCCCAAACCCTCTAACCCCATAACCCTATTACCAAACCCAAACCCTTAGCCCCAAACCCCAAACCCTAAACCCTAAACCCGAAACCCTAAACCCTAAACCCTAAACTCCCAAGCACCTTGTTGCGATATGCGAGGCCACGAGGCTGCCCGCAACCGGGAGCCCGCCTCCTGGGTTTAGGGTTTAGGGTTTAGGGTTTAGGGTTTAGGGTTTAGGGGTTTAGGGTTTAGTGTTTGCAGAGTGGCCTAGGAATGTACCATTGCGCCCAGTGTTGTTTGAAGGGGCCTTTTGCCTACTCGCGTTCCTCGCTATGAAGCCAGAAGCCCACAACCTTGAGAGGCTTTCAACAGTTAGATACCCCTAAACCCTAAACCCTAAACCCTAGTTAAACCCTAAACCCTAAACCCTAAACCCTAGACTTTGCCCTAAACCCCAGCCAGGAATCCGTGTCGTCGGCACTGGCCGGTCGGTTGGCCTGTGCAAGCGGCTACCCGCCCAAAGAAAACAGATTTTCAAGTTTAGGGTTGAGGGTTTACGGGCTTAGGGTGGAGGAGTTTGTTTGAGTGTTTAGGGTTTAGGGACTCGTTTTTGTGGTTTAGGGTTCAGGATTTAGGGTTTAGGGGGGTTGGAGGTGTAGGGTTTCCTGTCGCAGCCGCCCGTGAGTTTTGTAACTTCACAACTCCAACCCTAAAACCTAAACCCTACACCCTGCACCCTAAACCCAAAACCCTAAACCCGACACCCAAACACAAGCCCCTGCATATTTCAAATCTGGGTTCAATCGCCTTGGCCTGGCCCGTAGTTTTGGCAAGCTCTCTATCGCCTTGAAGCTATGAGGCTTTCAGAGGCTAACAGGCAAAAACATGCAATCCTCGGCCGGACTTATATGCTTAGGGTTTAGGGTTTAGGGTTTAGGGTTTAGGGTTTAGGGTTTAGGGTTAGGGTTTAGGGTTTAGGGTTTAGGGTTTAGGGTTAGGGTTTAGGTTTTATCACTCTGTGGCGTCGTGGGGTTTAGGCCTCAGGGGTGTGATGCTTGTGGTGTCGGATCAGGTCGTTCCTAGTTCGTGCGCCTGCCGTCAGGCTCAGCCCCCGATACCCTCAACCCTAAACCCGAAACCCTACCCCTAAACCCTGAACCCCAAGACATCAAGGTCCACACGACACAGAAGAAGGCATGCAGCCAATGCTTAGGTGCTTAAGACATGTCTGGGTGAACGGTCAGCTTGGAAGTCAACCCTAAGCCCAAGCCCTAAGCCCTTAACCCTAAGCTCTAAGTCCTAAGCCCTGAACGCATGAACGGGAGGAACAGCCTCAGAAACGCTCGCCGCCCTTCGCCGGCCCAGCTCAGTGGGAACTTCCCTCGCAGGTGACATCACAAGTAGGGCCAATTTGGAGGCCCAGAAAAATCATGCTTCCATGCGTGACCTAGAGGTAAGGAGCCAGCTACTTAAGAGGCCCAGAAACATCAAATTTCTGTGCGTGGCCCAGGTTTAGCAGGTGACGAGGGTCGACTGGGCTTGAGGATTTAGGATTGTATTCTGAAGAAGCTCTTGTATAGGAAACTCTCGGTGTGACTCTACGGGGGGAGGGGGAGTGGGGGCGCACCCCCGCCCCACCCCACCCCTGTTTGCCAACACAAAGCGAGCACAGTTCGTTCTTGCTTTCTTTCGTTGCTTTTGAGTATGTGTTGTTTCTTTCTTTTTCTTTCTGTCTTTCTTTCTTACGTGGTTTCTTGATATCTTCGTTTATGTGTTTTTTTCTTGCTTGTCTTTTCTTTTTTCTTTCTTTCGCTATTGCTTTGCTTCAACGCTGTTTTTTGTGCTTTAATGTTCTTTCCTTCTTTCTTCAGTTTTATTGCTTCATCTATTTCATTGTCTTTCTTTATTTCTTTGTCTTTCTTTATTTCTGTCGCTCTCCATTTACATCGTTCTTTCTCTCTCTCTCTCTCCCTCTTCCTGCCTCTCTTTTTTGTTTCTCTCTTTCTTTCTCTCTTTCTTTCTTTATTTCGTTCCTTCTCTCTTTCATTCTTTGTTTGTTGCTAAATGCGAACTTAATTTTCGGATAGCTATGTGTGTTTGAACATACGTAACTTTTTCAATGGCGCTCCCACCCAAGAGCCCCCCAGCTGCATCAGGGGCGGAGGGTGAAGGGTTTAGGGTTTAGGGTTTTGGGGATTAAGGCTTTGGGCTTAGGGTTTGGGAGGCATTAGGGTTTGGGGATTTGGCAGTCGCCACAAGCCCTCCACTCCTATACCGTCAAAAAGAAGCAACGCCCCTCAAGGACCTCGATCCCCTTCCTCCTCTGAGGAATTCAGATCTATCCATGAGCATCCTACGCTAACAAAACCCTAAACCCCTAAACCCCAAACCCCAAACCCCAAACCCCAAACCCCAAACCCTAAACCCTAAACCCTGAACCCCAAACTCCCCGAACCCTACGTATCAGCCCAACCGGCTGATGCACGTGCCATTGTGCACCTCAGCTTGGCCACGTCGAAGATGCAATGGACGTTCCGAACCTGCCGTTAGGGTTTAGGGTTTAGGGCTTAGGGTTTAGGGTTTCGGGTTTAGGGTTTAGGGTTTAGGGTTTCGGGTTTCGGGTTTAGGGTGTAGGGTTTAGGGTTTAGGGTTTGCGAACTAAAGGCTCTGGAACCAACCCTCAACCCTAAACCCTAAACCCTAAACCCTAAACCCCAAACCCTAAACCCTGAACCCTGAACCCCAAAGCCTAAGGCCTAAGGCCTAAGGCCCTGGAAAGATCCTAGAGGATAGAGAGTACCAGACTATAGAAAGTAGACCCAAAAAGACCCCCGGCTTCCCCCAAAAGCCCTACAGAAGCAGCCAGGGGCAGGGTTTAGGGTTCAGGGTTCAGGGTTCAGGGTTTAGGGTTTAGGGTTTTTGGTTTAGGGTTTAGGGTTTCGGGTTTAGGGTCCTCCGGAGCCCGTGGATTTCCTAAGTTCCTGAGCCCGAAGCCCCAATTCCCGACACCAACGCTTTCAAATCCTTAAGCCCCTACCAAATCCAAAAGCCCACAACGCCACGACCCCAAACCCCGAAACCCGAAGACCCTAAACCCTAAACTTTAAACTTTGAACCCTAAACCCTGGTCCCTTCCTACTTTTATTACGCGTGCCCCTGATAATAAAAACACTTTCCGGAAAATCCTGCCGAAACCGACCCCGCCTTTTAAACCCCCCTTCCCTCCCTTCCCAGCCTAGACCCTAAACCCATTGAACCCCAAACATGACATTTGGATAACAACATCCCCCTAATATTAAAATCGCATTTCGAGTTTCTATTGGGGGTTGGGGGTGGAGGGGGCCGTTTAATTTTGGGGGAAGAGCTTAAACCCTGAACCCTGAACCCTCAACCCTCAACCCTCAACCCTCAACCCTCAACCCTAAACTCTAAACCCTAAACCCCACAACCCTTAAAGCCTGTAAAGGAAACCATGCCGAGGCCACCGTGAGAGAACCTGGCGGCCGTGAGGCGAAACGGGGCCTGAGGTGAGCTCTGGTTTGTGGGCTTTCGGGTTAGGGTTTAGGGTTTAGGGTTTAGGGTTTAGGGTTTAGGGTTTAGGGTTTAGGGTTTAGGGTTTAGGGTTTAGGGTTTAGGGCTTAGGGCTTAGGGCTTAGGGTTTAGGGTTTAGGGTTTAGGGTTTAGGGCTTAGGGCTTAGGGTTTAGGGCTAGGGTTTAGGGCTTCGCGGTGGAAAAATATTTAGGATTTTGGGCTTTATGGTGTGGCAAGGGGTACTGTTTCTGCGCGCTGGCCAAAGAGCTTTTCAAAGGGAGCGGGGGTTGGATTTCGGGCTTTCCATGGTGTTCTGCGTCACTCAAACAAAGGCTTGAGGTCATGACTCAGAAGCTGGATCCTTAGTCCTAAGCTATCTTGAGTTTCGGGTCTCGGTTTCCCTAGAAACCTAAACCCTAAACCCTAAACCCTAAACCTTATACCTTATACCCTCAAAGCCCCCATCCTCTTGGCTCCCTGCACTGGTGTGACACTCCGGTTGCTGGACTTCGAGACGGGACGGCTCGCCTGCCTCAGGCCATTCGGAATCCCCCAAAAACCCTAAACCCTAAACCCTAAACCCTGAACCCTGAACCCTGAACCCCTGAACCCTAAACCCCTCAACCCATAAACTCCTCAACCCCGAAGGTCGTAACCCCTAAGCTCCTCAACTCCTGGAACTCTTTAGGGCCTATTGTTAAAGCAGAGAGGGGGGGCCGGATAAACACTAAACCCTAAACCCTAAACCCTAAACCCTAAACCCTAAACCCTAAACCCTAAACCCTAAACCCTAAACCTAAACCCAAAACTTCAGTATTGTCAACATATCCCTGCAATATCCATCTGGGAACCATCCAAGGGCCTACCCTAGCTCCAATCTTTAGGCGACCTTCAACCCTGACTCCCTGCCGCCATTCAGGGCTTCTTTTAGACTACTACTTGGGGTTTAGGGTTTAGGGTTTAGGGTTTGGGGTTTGGGGTTTGGGGTTTAGGGTTTAGGGCTTGGGGTTTAGGGATGCTGAAGCTCCAAACTTTGAACCCAACACTCTTGCAGCCCCAAACACTGCAACCCCACTCGCCAAACGCTAAACCTGACACCTAAACCCCTGAAGCCTAAACCCTAAACCCCAAACCCTAAACCCTGCGAACCCTTCCAAACCCTAAGCCCTAAGCCCTGAACCCTAACCCCTCCCCCCTAAACCCTAAACCCTACACCCTAAACCCTAAACCCTAAACCATGAACCCTAAACCCCAAACCCCTGTGAAGCCCAAGACACGACGCGCTGGAGTTGAACCTGGCAGTGTGTTTGGATAAGGAGCAGAAGAGGACCTCGGGTTCTGAGGGTTTAGGGTTTATAGGGTTTTGGGTTTTGGGTGTAGGGTTTAGGGTTTGGGGTTTAGGGGTTTCGGTTTAGGGTTTAGGGTTTGGGGTTGAGGGTTTAGGGTTTAGGGTGTAGGAGGTGTCTTTGAAAGTGGGGTGGCAGATGGCCCCAAGAAGTCAGGTTTACAGGTCGAGGGTTGAAGGCCCTCTGCCACCCTGATTGAGCGCTGAACCCTGAATCCTCATGCGCATGCTGTCAGAGTTTAGGGTTTAGGGTTTAGGGCTTAGGGTTTAGGGTTTAGGGTTCCAATGCTCCATCACGGCCCCGAAAAGCCTTACAATCCAGACGATAAGCCCGCGAAACCCCCACAGCCCAAATCACAAAACCATAGGCGCCGAATCCCAAGGCAGGTGATAAGTAGGGCATAAATACATGTACAGCCGTCTGAGAAAACCGCACAAAGAAGCGTATCCCCCCAACCCCTCAAAACCCCAAACCCAAAAACCCCAAAGCCCACAGCCTGTACCCTAAACCCTAAACCCTAAATGTGAAAACCCTAAGCCCTAAACCCTAAACCCTAAACCGTAAACCCTAAACCCTAAACCCTAACCCCTAGACCCTAAACCCTGATCTGAAAACACTTCTCCCCTGACACCTTGCGCAATGCCGGGGGTGCAAGAAGCCGCTGGTTGCCGAGAGTGGAGGAGGTGACTCCAGCCTGGGCTCATGGCGGAATAGGGTTTAGGGTTTAGGGTTTAGGGTTGAGGGTTTAGGGTTCAGGATGTAGGGTGTAGGGCAGTTGCAGCAGTTGGGATGCAAGGAACGAGCCAGTGATAGAAATAAAGTCATCCACAAGCCCGATGTTGGTTCTCTCGCTCTTACTAAAAGAAGTTAGTTCTCGAAAACCATTCCATGAAGGATCTGTAGCCTCGTTCGTTGCTTAAAGCTAAGATATCTTCAACATACCCCAAGGGCATACCTCTTCAAAGAAATTACAGGGTATGGTAAAATCCTCCCGTAGACTCCCTTATATTACCCTATCATATAGGTTAAGGGGTCTGGGTTTGGGGTATGGTGAATGTTTCTTTGATTTAAGTGGTGTAGAAGTAGTACTGATGCCTCACAAAGATAGGACCAAACCCTAAACCCTTAGTCCTAAAACCCTGAACCCTAAACCCTAAACCCTAAACCCTAAACCCTAAACCCTAAACCCGGCAAAGCTGCCCCAAGTAAAGCCCCTTCGGCGCAGTCCCCAAATTGTCCGAGCGCGCCGCCGATCTCGGAAGAATTCCAAGGAGCTCGCAAGCCTTTGCAAGGTTTGGGGTCGGGAGTTTAGGGTTTAGGGTTTAGGGTTTAGGGTTTAGGGTTTAGGGTTTAGGGTTTAGGGTTTAGGGTACAAACCCGATAAGCTCTGTACCCTACAAGCCCTTTAAGTCCTCTTAGAGCCCCACAAGCCCCTAGAAGCACAAACCCTCTCAAGCGCTATGAGCCCTCGACGCTACAAACTCAATTTCTAAAACCCTAAACCCTAAACCCTAAACCCTAAACCCTAAACCCTAAACCCCTAAACCTTTCTGAGGCTGGAGGGGGTGGGGTTTCACGTTTTGGGTTGTTTGCACCTCACGAAACCCTGCAAAGCTAACAGTCCTAAACAAGAACAGGGGTTGGGGTTTAGGGTTTAGGGTTCGTTCGGCAAGGAAAGCCCTTAGCCCTAAACGACCCTAACTTGCCTACAGACCTGACAAGCTCAACCCTCAACCCCCCCCCCCCCCCCCCCCCCCGCGCTGCCCGCCTCTGAAACAGCCTTGACAGGAGTTTCTGGCAAACCTGGGCTGATCAAATCAAGGGACTCTTTATAGAAGGTGTAGGGGCCTAAGCCCTAAGGCCTAGGGCCTAAGCCCTAAGCCCTAAGCCCTAAACCCTAAACCCTAAACCCTGAAGGGTCTCTCCCGGGTCCCTCCTTAGACCCCCTTAAGGTAGGTTGTGAACGACCGCAGGGGTTCAGGGCTTGGAGGTTTAAGGATTTCAGGTATCTGGTAGAAACCCTAAACCCTAAACCCTAAACCCTAAACCCTAAACCCTAAACCCTAAAAAAAATGAACCCTACAGAAACTCCTGGGGCCTGATGCGGCGTAGGCCGAACTTCTGGGGCATCTCGGAAGAATCCGCCAGGCTAGGTACAGAACTACTAATTGCTTAAGAACCCCGAAAAATATTCTTCCTCATCAAGGGTAACATAGGGATTAATATCCTTTATTCTTTTGGAGTTCTTAAGCAAAGAGTAGAGAAAGCACCCTGATACAGCAATGAGTTTGTTTAGGGTTTAGGGTGCAGGGTTCAGGGTTTGTTTTAGGAATTGGGTTTTACGCTATCCAAGGCAGAGCAATCCTCTCCTCTGTTCCATGGTGGAGTGGTTTTGGAGGCTTGTGCTTTTCTGGGGGCTGATCTTGGACGAATCTTGCAGTGTTTTGGTTGTAGAAGCAGAACGAAACGTGTGCTCAACAATCTAAACATATCTGAGCCTATATATGTATATGCATATACGTATATGTATGTATGTATGTATGTATGTATGTATGTATGTATGTATGTGTCTATATATCTATATCTACTTGTACATATAAGTATGGGTAGTTCTCTGCAGAACGGTCCCTCTTCGTGTCCCCTGTACCCTTCTCATAGCGACCCCCCAAAAAAAAGGGCGTCAGGGGCGTCAAACTTAGAGACCTACCCCTATATCGAACATCCCTACACCGTAGGATGGTTTGAGGGGCTTGGTGTTTGCACCCAGGCGTTGCAGCCAGGACTCTTCCATGGCGTTCCGCTCCAGTTCGTCAACGCCATGCAGGATAACCTGGTCTGTGGCAGGGATGGTTTGCTTGCCCCAACCGGCCCCAACCCCCCAACCCCCCAACCCCCCCCCCCCCCCCCCCCCGAGAAATGCACACCGAATGAACAGTCATATTCTGAGTCATGGGACTCCTGTTTTGGGGTGGAGATAAGCAAACGGAAGCCAAACTAGGCCCTAAACCTAAACCCTAAATCCTAAGCCCCAAACCCTAAAGCCTAAACCCTAAACCCTAAACCCTAGGTGATCCCCAACCCTCCCCTCAAGCCCCAGAAGCGTCGACTACACCCTGCCAGCGCGGCCCGAAGCCGCAGAAGAGCGTTCGACCCCAGAATGCGCTAAACCTGCCAAACCCTCGGGTTAGGGGTTTAGGGTTTAGGGTTTAGGGTTTAGGGTTTAGGGTTTAGGGTTTAGGGTTTAGGGTTTAGGGTTTAGGGTTTGGGGTTTGGGGTTTGGGGTTTAGGGTTTGGGGTTTAGGGTTTATAGGGTTTAGGGTTGAGGGTTATACAGGGTTTATGTTTAGGATTAGGGTTTAACATTCACCCCCTCCCCCCACCCCCCCACCCCCCCACCCCGCACACAAGCCCTACAGCCCCTAAAATACGTCCAAGGCCCGTACTAAGCCCTGTAACCCTCCGCCCCCCCCCCCCCACCTCCTATAGGCCCTATACCACGTCAAAGCCCCCTTAACCCGAACCCTAAGTGTTCCTGAGCCTAAGCCAAAAAACAACCCTAAACCCCAAACCCCAAACTCGAAACCCGAAACCCCAAACCCTAAACCCCAAACCCCAAGCCCCAAGCCCCAAACCCTGAACCCTAAACCCTAAACTAAGCAGGGCCGCCCAGTGCCCCAGCAGAGATGCGGCGGTGGCCACGCGCCGGAGCGACTCTAACATCGTGGGCGCGGAAAGGACGTAGCACCTGGGTCTGGTCCAGGGTTTAGGGTTGAGGGTTTAGGGTTTGGGGTTTGGGGTCTTATAGGGCTTAGGGTTTAGGGTTTAGGGTTTGGGACTTCAGGGGTTTGGGAATGGCGATTCCAGGCTTTGGGGGTTCGGGGATTACAACTTGGAAACTCTCAGTGGTCGAGAGTCTAAAGTGTTGGGGTGTTTACGATTACCCCTACGGCCTTCAACCCTAAACCCTAAACCCTAAACCCTAAACCCTAAACCCTAAACCCTAAACCCTAAACCCTAAACCCTAAACCCTAAACCCTAAACCCACCGCATAGCATTAACTCCTTGACCCCCCCTTCCGAAATCCTGCCACTCCAAGGACCCGAGTACTTAAACTGGGGGGCCGCCCCCTAGAACCCTCTGAACTTTAGGGTTTAGGGTTTAGGGTTTAGAGTTTAGGGTTTAGGGTTTAGGGTTTAGGGTTTAGGGTCTAGGGTCTAGGGTCTCTCAACCCAGCAACGGAAAATGTCAAATATCCCGAGGGCCTGCATAGTTAATTAATAACTTCAGTACCACGACGGTTTAGGGGTTTAGGGGTTTAGGGGTTTAGGGGTTTAGGGGTTTAGAGGTTTAGGGGTTGAGGGGTTTAGGGGTTTAGGGGTTTAGGGGTTTAGGGGTTTAGGGGGATTTCCCGTTAGGACGTCTCTACACTCACCAATCTTCGTAAGGAACCATACATCCACTCACCAGCGGCAGTATCAACCCAACTTCATTGTGGTTTTGGGGGGTTAACAAGAGTTAGTGTATGCCCCGCCAAACTTCTTCAGCATGAACCCCGAAACTCTTCCGAAGCCCTAAGCCCTCAACCCTACACCCTAAACCCTGAAACCTACAGCCTAAATCCCAAGCCCTACACACAAAGAGGCGTTTCGCGCATTGCTTGTTGACTCGGCGTAGGTCGGTCTTGGCTGTCCAAGGACCCCCCGGAATATGACCAAAACATACCTCCAGTTCGCGTCTGCGGTTTAGGGTTAGTGTTTAGGAAGTCGTCATGATGGACGCCCATTTGCACAAAGAGATCCGCGACCGCCCTCTCAATGACTGTAAGTAACCCTCGGCACCATGTTTCTGACTTCCTGGACCCTATAAATGCTAAGCTCGAAAACCCTAATCCCAGTAAACCCCTATGAACCCTCAAACCTCTTTACGCTTATGAACCCCCATTAACACTCTAAACCCTCTACGCCACCTAAACCTTGATAACCCTCCGACTGATAAACTTTCCAAAGCCTCTAAACCCTGTAAACCATCAAAGAAGCCCTACAAACCCTCCGAATCACCCTCCGAACCTTCTCAACCTAAACCCTAAACCCTAAACCCTAAACCCTAAACCCTAAACCCTAAACCCTAAACCCTAAACCCTAAACCCTAAACCCTAAACCCTAAACCCCCTTAAAAAATCCCATGGCGCTGATGGCAGGCAATGCCACAAGCCGCTGCCAAGCCCAGCGCCACGCCACCTTGGGAGGAGGGCCCAGGCTGAGGGTCTGTAGGGTTTAGGGTTTAGGGTTTCGGGTTTAGGGTTTGGGGTTTGGGGTTTGGGGTTTGGGGTTTAGGGTTTAGGGTTTAGGGTTTAGGGTTTAGGGTTTAGGGTTTAGGGTTTAGGGTTTAGGGTTTAGGGTTTAGGGTTTAGGGGTATGGAGCTGACGGATATCGGAGCTTAGGGCATAGGGCTGATCAGGCTTGCGGCTCAGGATTGAGGGCTTTAATTACGAGGATTAGGGCTGAGGGTTCGGGGCTCAGGATTTGCAATATTTAGGGCTTAGGGCTTAAGGCTTAGGGCTTAGGGCTTCGGGCTGGTTTGGGGTTTAAGGTTTAGGGTTCAGGGTTTAGGGCTTAGGGATCACTTCTGATTCTGATTTCGGCAAGGCCATGTCTGCACGGATCCTTGGAATGGCGACTGTGTACCACGCCCTTCAACCGTGGACGAAAAGTCCACCCCAAACCCCATACCCTGAACCCGAAACCCTAAATCCAATACCCTAAATCCTAAACCCTAAACCCTAAACCTTAAACCCTCAACCCTGAACTCGAGACCGCAAACATTTGCGGCTTTGTGGCAACTGCCGCTGCCTTGCAGCACCGGGCATCGGAGTGTGGCCAAGTGCCTGAGGCCGCGTGCTTGAGGCCGCGTGCTTGGGTGGGTTTAGGGTTTAGGGTTTAGGGTTCAGATTCATGTTTCAGGGTTCAGGGTCCAAGGGTTTAGGGTTAGGGTTTAGAGTTTCTGGGGTTGAAGATGGGAGTCTAGTGATTTTGGCTCTGTCCTTAACTTAAAGCCATATATGGTGCTTAGGATGGAGTCTAGTGATTTTGGGTCTGCCCCGAACTTAAGGGCATAAGGTTAGTTCTTAAAATGATGAACCCATTTTGGGGTACCATAAAGAATAGGGTCCTCCTTAGAATAAGGACCCCGAAAGAAGAGCCCGCACCCGAAGCCCTGGGGCCCACACTAAGCAGCTCAGTTTCTTACAAGGGTGGTTTAGGGTTTAGGGTTTAGGGTTTAGCCCTAACCCTAAACCCTACATCCTAAGCCATGGAAAGAATGTTGCGTTTCGGTCTTCTTGTGGTCTTTTGGAGCCTCTCGCATTTTCACTCAGAAGAGTGAAGAGATCTCCCTGAATCGAGGTGGCGGTTAGGGCCGACTTAAGTGTTTAGGGGTTTAGGGTTTGGGGCTTTAGGGTATTACTTGAGGATTTCTGGTTTAAGGCTTCAGGGTTTGAAACAAGGGTTTCGGGCTGTAGGGTTTTAATTTAAGGTGTAGGGTTTGGGGTGGTTTCTGGTTTTTAAGGCTTGACTTTAAGGTTTAGGGGGCTCTCTTCTACTATTTACTTGCTTAAGAACCCCCACAAAAAAAAAAAAAACACTCTTCCTTGCACGGGCAATATAGGGACTACTATTTTCTATGTTTTTTTGGGGGGGGGGCAAATGGTAGTCTTCTGGCTTGTTGACGAAGGTGCTGCGTCACTTCGACAAAGTTCTCCTCTCCCACGGGGCACACGAGGACGTCACCTGCCACAAGCTGCCAAGTGACAGCAGCCAACGGACCGTGGGGGCCTGAACCCTATAAACCCTAAACCCTACACCCTCAACCCTCAACCCTACACCTTGAACCCTAAACCCTGAACCCTGAACCCTAATCCCTAAACCCTAAACCCCAACCCTAAAGAGCTGCGGGAGCTGCGATAGCCAGCAGCGAGCGTGCAGGGGGCGAAAGCCCCTGCCAGCTCCGGGGCATGTGCGACAGTCGCTGCGAAGGAGCTCCGTTGGCTGCACGGGCTCGGTGCCGGCGCACGCGACAGGCGTGCCGGATCTGCTAGAGATATGACCCCAAACCTTGGGCTCGGACCGGTGCCTTTATAGGATTTAGGAATAGGGTTTAGGATCTAGGATTTAGGATTTAGGGTTTAAGGTTCAGGGTTTAGGATTTAGGATTTAGGATACCTCAACCGGGTTGTCAGGGGTGGCTTTTTTAGGGGGGGGGGGGGGGGGCGTGTGCTGACCGCTGCAACCTGGTTCGGGGTTTTAAAAAGGTGGCTGGATTCCATGGTGCGAGGGGCGCCTGGGAGGGTCCCCCCGCGCCTTTCTCCCCTGCCAGGCCCCTGACCACCGTGACATGAATTTCAGTGTAGCAAAACATAACCCTCGTACCATTTCAAACCTTGTTGGGCCTTTCCGAGACCATTTTCCTGGACCATTTCTGAGCTTTTGCGGGATTCTCCCAGACCAGTTCTCAGCTATAAAGTCCCCCAAATCCCAAAGCACAAGCCTCGATCCGAAGAATAGTGCGGAATAGGATTCGAGCAACTATTTGGAAGGAGAGCCAACAACGAATATATAAAAACCCAAACCCGACCAAGGTCATAAATTGGGTGGGTGGGTTGGGAGAGGACGTGAACCTTGGCGCACACCACAACGCACGACCTGCGTGGTGGCGTGCGTGGAGCATGTGACACACCCTGAACCCTAAACCTCCTAAACCCTAAACTTCCCTAAACTTCCCTAACCCTAAACCCTAAACCCTAAACCCTAAACCCTAAACCCTAAAACCCTGCGGCCTGGTTAAGGAGGCTGGGGTGGGGGTTCAACTTGGGTTCCAAGGCGTAGCTATCATGATCAAAACAGGGTTCCGTCCAACCTGCTTCTTGAACCCTGAACCCTGAACCCTAAACCCTCCAACTTGTCTTTCAGCATGCTGTGATCATACTCTTAACCCAAGCCCTACATACCTTATGGGCTACGAAGAAGCACATTTCAACCGAGGACTTGCCCCTGTTTTAGGAGAGCGGTGATTGAGGGGGGGGCGCGGGGTCGCTTTCGCCTTGTGAGAGGAGACACGGCTCTTTAGCACCTGATACGTCATACTCAGAGCATGCCTATGGAGTTGGGGCTTAGGTTTCTTGGCAGCCCAGTAACCATATTATAATCAGGGCACTTTTTTAAGGTAACCCATAACAAAAAAAGGGTAAAGGGTACCACTGAGCTACCAAGGTTTAGGGTGAAGGGGTGAAAGCTCCAGAAGTGTTGATTGTTGTGGCGCTCCCAGGCTATTGAACGGCGAGGCGTTCTCAAGTCATACCGTCATAGCTGCAATGCCTCAGTGTTGATTGCTGGGCGTTTACTACCGGTGAGTCCCTCTGTCACATTTATATTAATATGTGAAAGCTATGTGAGTTGCGAAACAGGACACTCCTTTCAATTTGCAGACTTTTTTGTCACCTTCGACCGGCCCGAATTCCGAAACAGGACACTGTTCCGACCCGAATTCCGACTCTGAAGGAAGCAGCAAATATAGTTAGTATAGCAAGGGATGCCCCTCCTTGTAGACCCTTTACCCAGGACTCTACCCCGGATGGCCCGGGGCATTAAGCCCCGAAGGTCGCCGTCCGATAATGGCTTAGATAGCCCTGTAAGTCTTAAATCCCGCACCGTAAGCTCCCCAAACCCTAAACCCTAAACCCTAAGCCCTAA